CAGTAAGAAAGCCAAAAGTCAGTAACAAGTGGCTGCAAGTAGAAGCATAGAAGCACAAAAAAAGCCGAAGGTCTAACGAGTGGTAGTGAAGATCGGACGGCAGCAGGAGTGACAAGAGCAAGATATTAGCTGGAGAGCACAATAATCTGGCAAACAGGAATTGCAAAGGTATGGCTTACATAGGAAGTTCATGGGAGGAGTAAAAAAGTCCAAGGCTCAAGAGAAACAAGACCCAAGGCAAGGTTGTCTAAGGAATCAGGCAGGGGGCTGTCCAGCATCTCAGGTGGCTTAGAAAGAAGAGATACTGGTAGACACAGCAGAGGTTGCAGGTTCATTCCAGATGGTGAACAAGCCGGGGTTCAATAGCAGATATAGCAGGTAGGGATCAAAGAGAAGTGTAGTTAGTAAGCAAGCCAAAAGTTAGTAACAAGTGGTTGCCAGCAGGGATCAAGTAGAAGCACAGTCGAGGAACAAGCCGAAGGTCTAACGAGTGGTAGTGAAGATCGGACGGCAGCAGGAGTGACAAGAGCAAGATATTAGCTGGAGAGAGCACAATAATCTGGCAAACGGGAATTGCGGGGTCCGGGGAGAGCGGATATAGTGAATGCGGGGTCCGGGGAGAGGGGATATAGTGAATGCGGGGTCCGGGGAGAGCGGATATAGAGAATGCAGGGTCCGGGGGAGAGCGGATATAGTGAATGCGGGGTCCGTGGAGAGCGGATATAGTGAATGCAGGGTCCGGGGAGAGCGGATATAGTGAACGCAGGGTCCGGGGAGAGCGGATATAGTGAATGTGGGGTCCAGGGAGAGCGGATATAGTGAATGCGGGGTCCAGGGAGAGCGGATATAGTGAACGCGGGGTCCGGGGAGAGCGGATATAGTGAATGCGGGGTCCGGGGAGAGTGGATATAGTGAATGCGGGGTCCGGGGAGAGCGGATATAGTGAATGCGGGGTCCAGGGAGAGCGGATATAGTGAATGCGGGGTCCGGGGGAGAGCGGATATAGTGAATGCGGGGTCCGGGGAGAGTGGATATAGTGAATGCGGGGTCCGGGGAGAGCGGATATAGTGAATGCAGGGTCCGGGGAGAGTGGATATAGTGAATGCGGGGTCCGGGGAAAGCGGATATAGTGAATGTGGGGTCCAGGGAGAACGGATATAGTGAATGCGGGGTCCGGGGAGAGTGGATATAGTGAATGCGGGGTCCGGGGAGAGCGGAAATAGTGAATGCGGGGTCCGGGGAGAGCGGATATAGTGAATGCAGGGTCCGGGGAGAGCGGATATAGTGAATGCAGGGTCCGGGGAGAGCGGATATAGTGAATGCAGGGTCCGGGGAGAGCGGATATAGTGAATGCGGGGTCCGGGAGTGCAGATATATAGTGAATGCGGGGTCCGGGGAGAGCGGATATAGTGAATGCGGGGTCCGGGGAGAGCGGATATAGTGAATGTGGGGTCCAGGGAGAGCGGATATAGTGAATGCGGGGTCCAGGGAGAGCGGATATAGTGAACGCGGGGTCCGGGGGGAGCGGATATAGTGAATGCGGGGTCCGGGGAGAGTGGATATAGTGAATGCGGGGTCCCGGGGAGAGCGGATATAGTGAATGCGGGTCCAGGGAGAGCGGATATAGTGAATGCGGGGTCCGGGGAGAGCGGATATAGTGAATGCGGGGTCCGGGAGAGTGGATATAGTGAATGCGGGGTCCGGGGAGAGCGGATATAGTGAATGCAGGGTCCGGGGAGAGTGGATATAGTGAATGCGGGGTCCGGGGAAAGCGGATATAGTGAATGTGGGGTCCAGGGAGAACGGATATAGTGAATGCGGGGTCCGGGGAGAGTGGATATAGTGAATGCGGGGTCCGGGGAGAGCGGATATAGTGAATGCGGGGTCCGGGGAGAGCGGATATAGTGAATGCAGGGTCCGGGAGAGCGGATATAGTGAATGCAGGGTCCGGGGAGAGCGGATATAGTGAAATGCAGGGTCCGGGGAGAGCGGATATAGTGAATGCGGGGTCCGGGAGTGCAGATATAGTGAATGCGGGGTCCGGGGAGAGCGGATATAGTGAATGCGGGGTCGGGGGAGAGCGGATATAGTGAATGCGGGGTCGGGGGAGAGCGGATATAGTGAATGCAGGGTCCGGGGAGAGCGGATATAGTGAACGCGGGGTCCGGGGAGAGCGGATATAGTGAATGCAGGGTCCGGGGAGAGCGGATATAGTGAATGCAGGGTCCGGGGAGAGCAGATATAGTGAATGCAGGGTCCGGGGTTTAGCAACACTTTTGCGCTGGGAGTTCTGCTTTTAGTGGAATGCGTCGCATGAAAAGGTAGGAAACTTTTGTGGCGCTCTGTGGCGCTCTGTGGTGCTCCATGGTGCTCCATGGTGGTCTGTGGCGCTCCGTGGCGCTCCGTCTCCTCCTTATATCATCCATCTCCTGAACGGATGTTTTACTTCCACACTTGGAGGGATACTTGACATGAAAACAGAGAACAACTTCTTATAAAAGTGGGGCTTCAAAACCGGCTGTAATATTCCACAGAGGTGTCACAAAAAAAATGTGTCGCCATGGAAACAGGGCTGCATGCAGAAACCGCATCGGATGCACGCGTCTTTTTGATGGCGAGGCGGTCGCTTTCAGTTCGGCTTTAATAGATTGGAGTGTCAGGAGACGCAGGAAGCAGAATCCCCGCCAAGGTCAGGGAGTATAACGAGGAGGATACTTCCCTGTTATTAGAGGCAGACAGACCCCACCAGCAGCGGCCCCCTCACCAGAAGACCCAAGGGCGGCCCCCCCACCAGTAGACCCCAGGGCGGCCCCCTCACCAGCAGACCCTTGGGTAACCCCCCCACCAGCAGACCCCAAAGCGGCCCCCAGCCCCCCCACCAGAAGACCCAAAGAAGGCCCCCCCAGCAGAAGACCCCAGGGCATCCCCCACTGGCAGACTCCAGGGTGGGCAGCCCCCCATGGCAGACCCCAGGGCAGGCAGCCCCCCCACTGGCAGACCCCAGGGCTGGCGCCCCCCCCCCTCTGGCAGACCCCAGGGTGGGCGGGCCCCCTACTAGCAGATGCATCATTATACAAACATTGATAAAGAGGACCTGTCTATGGAAGGACAAGGCTGACCACCGGATGGTGCTTTAGTATGACACTGCAAGCCCCGGGGGGGCCCCGTACCTTCCCTCTGGAATAGGTGCCAAGCACAGGCCTGGTTGCTGGAGTAAAGGGACGGCAGCATTTGGTGGATCCACACTGGCTGCATGCTTAAATGACCTCTGACCTCCCCTCCAGTCTTGCACAGTTGTACCGGCTCCTCCTCTGCAATGAAACAGCTGCCTCAGATTTCACCGCACACTGCGAGCTTCTCAGACTGTGCCTTAAAAGCTGCAAATCAGATAGCGCTCCACCCCATTTTCTGGCTGGAGGACGTCCGGCATCATATGACCCTGGCCGGCCCCTTTTATCCAATGGATTCAGTCCTTTTTAATCATGGAGGATCAGCATCACATGTGGGCGTTACCTATGCAAATCCAGCCTGCCTAGGAACGCCCACTCCTCTAGACTGACATCCACCCGCCAAGGTGTTTGGATATTTCCATAACTTTGCATGATCTGACTGCATTACATAGAGAAGCACAGAGATCCAGAGATGATATTTGCATAACTCCTCCCAGGACCCAGCCCACTGATTGTATCAGGGCTCTTGAGAGGAGTACTGAGGTGGGACTGTGTACAGCACCCTGCTGGCCCTTCCCACAGCCATGATCTGCCTGCATTGCATAGAGAAGCACAGAGATCTAGAGATGATATTTGCAAATTCCTCCCAAGAACCAGCCCACTGCATACATCATGGCTGAGGGTTCTTAGGAGGAGTACCCAGGCAGGGTTCTGTGATGTTATCAGGAAGCTATGTACAGCAGCCTGCTAAGCCCCTCCCACCGGTCATCATCTGCCTGCTTTGCATAGAGAAGCACAGAGACAAAGTAATGACATCGCTGGATCTAAAGTAAGGTATTCAATGGTAATGAAAAGGTTTCAGTTGAAAATATCATTAGCATTTTGATGTGGGGGGGGGGGCCAGGGTAGGCAAAATATAACGCCTCCCAAGAGGCAATCACAGAGGCTCAGCATCACATGTGGGCGTTACCTATGCAAATCCAGCCTGCCTAGGAACGCCCACTCCTCCACACTGACACCCGCCCATCAAGGCATTTTTGTATATTTGCATAACACTTCCCAAAAACAGGTCCACTACTTGTAACAGGGCCAAGGACTCTTGAGAGGAGTACTGAGGCAGGGTGCTGTTTTTTAAAGAAAGCTATGTACATCACACTGCTAGCCCCTCCCACCAGCCATGATCTGCTTGCATTGCACAGAGAAGTACAGAGACCAAGTGATGACATGGTATATAATGAGAAAAATAAAGAATTTGTTTGCTGTTAATGTAATCAGCACCTTGATAAGGAAGGGAGGAGCCAGGGGATAGAGAATTACCATAGAATAAACTTTAGCATTCACCATATCCACTCTCCCCGGACCCCGCATTCACTATGTCCGCTCTCCCCGGACCCCGCATTCACTATATCTCCGCTCTCCCCGGACCCCCGCATTCACTATATCCGCTCTCTCCCCGGACCCTGCATTCACTATATCCGCTCTCCCCGGACCCTGCATTCACTATATCCGCTCTCCTCAGACCCTGCATTCACTATATCCGCTCTCCCCAGACCCCGCATTCACTATATCCACTCTCCCCGGACCCCCATCGCATTCACTATATCCGCTCTCCCCGGACCCCGCATTCACTATATCCGCTCTCCCCTGGACCCCGCATTCACTATATCCACTCTCCCCGGACCCCGCATTCACTATATCCACGGTCTCCCCGGACCCCGCATTCACTATATCCGCTCTCTCCCGGACCCTGCATTCACTATATCCGCTCTCCTCAGGACCCTGCATTCACTATATCCGCTCTCCTCAGGACCCCGCATTCACTATATCCGCTCTCCCCGCACCCCGCATTCACTATATCCGCTCTCCCCGGACCCCGCATTCACTATATCCGCTCTCCCCAGACCCCGCATTCACTATATCCGCTCTCCCCAGACCCTGCATTCACTATATCCGCTCTCCCCGGACCCTGCATTCACTATATCCACTCTCCCCGGATCCTGCATTCACTATATCCGCTCTCCCCGGACCCGCATTCACTATATCCGCTCTCCCGGACCCCGCATTCACTATATCCGCTCTCCCCAGACCCCGCATTCACTATATCCGCTCTCTCCCCGGACCCTGCATTCACTATATCCGCTCTCCCCCGGACCCCGCATTCACTATATCCACTCTCCCCCGGACCCTGCATTCACTATATCCTGCTCTCCCCGGACCCCTGCATTCACTATATCCGCTCTCCCCCGGACCCCGCATTCACTATATCCGCTCTCCCCGGACCCCGCATTCACTATATCCGCTCTCCCCGGACCCCGCACTCACTATATCCGGTCTCCCTGGACCCCGCACTCACTATATCCGGTCTCCCTGGACCCTGCATTCACTATATGTGGTCTCTTCGGACCCTGCATTCACTATATCCGCTCTCCCTGGACCCCGCATTCACTATATCCGGTCTCCCTGGACCCTGCATTCACTATATGTGGTCTCTTCGGACCCTGCATTCACTATATCCGCTCTCCCTGGACCCCGCATTCACTATATCCGCTCTCCCCGGACCCCGCATTCACTATATCCGCTCTCCCCGGACCCCGCATTCACTAAGGGCCTAAGGCTGACCATACCTTATGCAATTTTCTTGAGAATTTTACCAAAAACCATATAATATGAGGTCAAACCTAACAACACTTTCAATTGTATCCAATTAGGCCGGCCCTTGCACTACATAGTGAAAGGTAAATCTAAAGGAAATTGGCCAGAAATTGGCCAGAAAATTGTATAGTGTATGGCCAGCCATTTCAGGACAGGAGAAGAGCCGGTACAACTGTGCAAGGCTGAAGGGAAGTTCATCTTTACGTTTGCTATCTTGCAGGGTATCCTGGGAAATATGGTTCCTCATCCTCAGTCAAGAAAAAAAAAAAAAAACTCGCTTTCACACAGACGCAAAACACTTATCAGAGCGCGCCGCGCCGTACTACATCGCCTCGCATTTAAATGTGTGTAAGAAAGCAGATCTTAGTTTTTTTTTTTTTACTTCTTAGCACTTGAAGTATCACCTTTAAACCACTTTTGTTATGTCTCATTACTAATGTACTTTGCTCTTATCTACTGTACAGGCGAGCGCGGCCCTCTCCTCTTCCCCGAGCTTTAATCTCAGAAGCAATTGTGTCAGTTCACTGCGAAATTACACCTAAAAAAAAACCCTTTGAATTCGCCAAATGCATCAGCCGGGGGAAGTAGGCAGGAAGAGCTCGCCCGGCTCCGTCCCTGCTAAATGCGAGCTTACACGTTTTAAAGACAGATACTTTTCAAAGCCGGATACGTTTAATCCTTTTGATAGTTTCATCAGAAAATTTCACGTCGCATAATGTGACTGTTCCTGGCGGTGTACGTTGTACGGGCGAATCTCTGGCGCTGCAGATAGTCTGCAAAAGAGTCCCTTGGAAAAACAAAAAGTCTACCGAAGATAAAAGGTGCCGGCGGTGGGGCCCAAATGTGCAGACACGAGTGGATTCCTATTGTTCCTGATAAAAGCTTTTGGGAAGGTATCACACTACTGATGTTTTTTATTTGTGGCATGCTTGAGGTAGTGGATTGGCTGTATTAGAACCTTAGGTTCTAGTACACCCCCCTCCTCCTCAAAAAACTACACTCCCTCGGCCTCAGAGATTCTGCTCTCTCCTGGCTCTCATCCTACCTGTCACAACGCTCCTTCAGCGTTACCTATAATGCTACCACCTCCCCCTCACTCCCCCTCTCTGTTGGGGTCCCTCAAGCCTCTGTCCTCGGGCCCCTTCTCTTCTCCATCTACACCTCCTCCCTTGGCCAACTCATACACTCTCATGGCTTCATCTACCACCTCCCCCTCTCTGTTGGGGTCCCTCAAGCCTCTGTCCTCGGGCCCCTTCTCTTCTCCATCTACACCTCCTCCCTTGGCCAACTCATACACTCTCATGGCTTCATCTACCACCTCCCCCTCTCTGTTGGGGTCCCTCAAGCCTCTGTCCTCGGGCCCCTTCTCTTCTCCATCTACACCTCCTCCCTTGGCCAACTCATACACTCTCATGGCTTCATCTACCACCTCCCCCTCTCTGTTGGGGTCCCTCAAGCCTCTGTCCTCAGGCCCCTTCTCTTCTCCATCTACACCTCCTCCCTTGGCCAACTCATACACTCTCATGGCTTCATCTACCACCTCCCCCTCTCTGTTGGGGTCCCTCAAGCCTCTGTCCTCGGGCCCCTTCTCTTCTCCATCTACACCTCCTCCCTTGGCCAACTCATACACTCTCATGGCTTCATCTACCACCTCCCCCTCTCTGTTGGGGTCCCTCAAGCCTCTGTCCTCGGGCCCCTTCTCTTCTCCATCTACACCCTCCTCCCTTGGCCAACTCATACACTCTCACGGCTTCAACTACCACCTCTATGCCGACGACACACAAATCTATCTCTCAACCCCCCACCTCACCCCCTCAGTCTCCGCCCGAATCACACACCTACTGAGCGACATATCAGACTGGATGTCGTTCAACTTCCTCAAACTGAACCTCTCCAAAACCAAGTTTCTTATCTTACCCCCAGCCTGGACACCACCCCCCCCCCCCCCCATTGACTTCTCCTTCACATCCAACAACGCCACCATCAAACCCGCCCCCACAGAACAGAGTACTTGGTGTCATTCTGGACTCCAACCTATCCTTCCAGCCCCAAGTCCAATCTTTAACAAACTCATGCAGACTCCACCTCCGCAACATCGCCAAAATCCGCACGTTCCTATCCCCAGAAACCACTAAACAGCTCATCCACTCCCTCATCATATCACGACTCGACTACTGCAACTCCCTCCTCACTGGCCTGCCTCGCCGCTGGCTATCCCCGTTTCAGTCCATCCTGAATACGGCAGCCAGACTCATCCACCTTACCAACCGCTCCGTTTCCGCCCACCCCCCCTCTGCCAATCCCTCCACTGGCCTCCACTCAGTGTCCTTCACCCCCCCCTCTGCCAATCCCCCTCCACTGGCCTCCGCTCAGTGTCCTCCACCCCCCTCTGCCAATCCCTCCACTGGCCTCCGCTCAGTGTCCTCCACCCCCCTCTGCCAATCCCTCCACTGGCTTCTGATTGCCCAACGGATCAAATTCAAAATCCTAACACTGACGTACAAAGCCATCCACCATACTGCCCCGAACTACATCACTGACCTAATACCCAAGTACCACCCAACACGCACACTCCACTCCTCACAAGACCTCCTTCTCTCTAGTTCCCTGGTCTCCTCCTCCCATGCCCGCCTCCAGGACTTCTCCAGTGTGTCACCCATCCTCTGGAACTCCCTGCCCCAACCCATCAGATTATCACCTACTCTCCTCTCCTTTAGACGCACCCTGAGGACCCATCTCTTCAGGGAAGCCTACCCCACCCCTGCTAACCTGCTGACCTCCTCCACTCTTCCTACCACTCCATCCCCCACAGCTATCTCCTCCTGTGCCACCATCCCCTCCCTCCTAGAGTGTAAGCTCGAAAGAGCAGGGCCCTCGATCCCCTCATGTTTTGCATTGTATTGGTATTGTTCTGTCACATGTTCTGTCCCCCTTTGTAATGTACAGCGCTGAACGAACTATTGGCGCTTTATAAATACTGTATAATAATAATATGATTTGGCACATGAGATTAGTTTTGCTTGGCTCTGTCCCTGCTACATGCGAGCTTACGCATTTTAAAATAGATACTTCTCAAAGCCGGATACATTGAATCGTTTTGATAGTTTTATCTGAAAATCTCACGTGGAATAATGTGACTGTTCCTGGCAGTGGTGGCGAACCCTTGAAAAAAAGCCTACCAAAGATAAAATGTGCTGGTGGTGGGGCTCAAAACATGCATACAAGTAAGGACCAATGGATTTTAAATCTGGATATATTTAATCTTTTTGATAGTTTCATCAGAAAATTTCAAACTGTGTTATGTGAATGTTGCTGGCAGTGGCATCGAATCTCTGTGCTGAAAATCATCTGCAAAAGAGTCCCTTGGAAAAAAAAAGTCTACCGAAGATAAAAGGTGCCAGCGGTGGGGCCCAAACATGCATACACATGAGTGGATTCCTAATAAAAGCTTTTGGGAAGGTATCACACTATGGATGTGTTGTATTTGTGGCATGCTTGAGGTAGTGGATTGGCTGTACTAGAGTCCCTTGAAAAAGTCTACCAAAGATAAAATGTGCTGGTGGTGGGGCTCAAAACATGCATAAAAGTAAACATGAGTGGATTTTAAAGCTGGATACATTTAATCTTTTTGATAGTTTCTTCATCATTCTTAATAATTAACAAAGCATTTGAGATGGTATCACACTTTGTGGCATGCTCGAGGTAGTGGATTGGTGGCGCCAGAATCTTAGATTTTGTTTGGTGTGAAAAATTAGTTCGCTGGTCACTGTGCTAAATGCTACCTTACACTTTTTAAAACAGATCATTTTTAAAACTGAATTTAATCTTTTTGATAGTTTCATCAGAAAATTTCACACTGTGTTATGTGACTGTTCCTGGCAGTGGCATCGAATCTCTGTGATGAAAATCATCCGCAACAGAGTCTACCAAAGATAAAATGTGCTGGTGGTGGGGCTCAAAACATGCATGCAAGTAAGGACCAATGGATTTTAAAGCTGGATACATTTAATCTTTTTGATAGTTTCTTCAGAAAATTTCACAGCGCATTATGTGACTGTTCCTGGCAGTGGTGGCGAACCTCTGTGCTGCAGATAGTCTGCAAAAGAGTCCCTTGGAAAAAAGTATACCAAAAGTAAAAGGTTTCCGGCGGTGGGACCCAAACATCATCCATACAAATGAGTGGATTCCTTATAAAAGCTTTTGGGAAGATATCACACTATTGATGTTTTTTATTTGTGGCATGCTTGAGGTAGTGGATTGGCTGTACTAGAACCTTAGGTAGATATGATTTGGCCTATGAGATTAGTTTTGTTTGGCTCTGTCCCTGCTACATGCGAGCTTACGCATTTTAAAATAGATACTTCTCAAAGCCGATACATTGAATCGTTTTGATAATTTTATCGGAAAATCTCACGCGGAATAATGTGACTGTTCCTGGCAATGGTGGCAAACCTCTGTGCTGCAGAGTCCCTTGAAAAAGCCTACCAAAGATAAAATGTTCCGGTGGTGGGGCTCAAAACATGCATACAAGTAAGGACCAATGGATTTTAAAAGCTGGATACATTTAATCTTTTTGATAGTTTCATCAGAAATTTCCAACACTGTGTTATGTGAATGTTCTTGGCAGTGGCATCGAATCTCTGTGCTGAAAATCATCCGCAAAAGAGTCCCTTGGAAAAAAGTCT